TCAAAATTGTCTCACTGTGTCAGCAAGGATATTGAAAGTTGAGAGGAATTTTCATAAAAATTTGATGGACTTGATAAGAAAAAGCTATACGATACTCATATGAACTGACTGAGAAGACTTAGACTTGACAGCACCGAACAATCGAACCGATAAGAAAAAGTTATGAGATACAAACTATGTATTTATTTATAATAAATGGCAGGCGGTTTGATAGTTATCTTTAGCCGTTTAGTTGGCTTCGGGCTTCACAGAGGGGAGGAGGCACATTAAAGTGAGAAGAACTCGGGATGGGGAATAGAAGAGTGATTCACAGATGCAAAAGAAACAGAGACACTAAGGCTCAGAAGGGGTAAGATAAGTACTGTGGTAGGGGTCGAATATGACATACAGTGGGGGTGGTGGTAGTTTGAAGTGAGAAATCAACTACCTGTTAATGGACTTTTTTGCACTATCGCAATAGCTTATGCTACATGGATTTACAAACATTTGCAATGAAGAATAACATTGAAATGGGTATTCATTTCAACGGAAATTGAAAGAACACGCTGCTTGTAAGTAATTGGTAAATATGTGAAGAAATTTGAATTTTGTTTAAATGTTTGGTGTGGTTTATAAAGACGAGGTTGATTGAGGTGAAGAGAGAAGTCGAATCAGCTGAACTTTGACCGACCAATGACACCACGTCGCTCAACTGACCAATCAAAGCGCATGTTCGAATAAGTTCATTTTGGCAGTGAGTGACCTAGGGACATGACGTGATCATCTTGGCTTTAACAAAGCAATGCTAACTTCTTCGTCATGGTGAGAGAGAGAGGAATTGTCATTTCAATTGTAGCTTTCTTGACAAACTTTCGATACATATATGAACGGACTGCTTAGAAGTTGACACGAGAGCATCGAACAATTATACCAAATAGAAAAAGTCGAGTGGGACAAAATATTAGAATTTGTTTTCACATAAATTTACAAACATTCGCAATGAGGAAAAGAATTGAAAAGGGTATCCACTTTGACGGTGGTTGAAAGAACACTCCACTTGGAAGTGAGTGGTTAATGTGTAAAGAAATTCGAAATTTATCTAAATGAGTAGTGAAATTTATAACCACGGGGTTAGCTGAGGTGAAGAAAAAAGTCCAACCAGCTGATCTGCAGTTTTTACTTGTCCAATGAGGCTGACTTTAGTCAATCCAAATTAAATGGGCTAAAGAACAGCTATCTCTTCTTCAGTTCCATTCGTAATTACTTGGGCTAACTCGTGTGATATGTCCCATTTGCGAGTGTGCGTTAGCTGTTATATAATGAAGGAGGCTAAATGAACCTGCTAAATGAAACTGCTTGTTACTTCAACTCTGATCCACAGCTTTGCTTAAAATATTTGAAAATTGTCTCATTGTCTATTTTGTTTTGATGCACCGAAGGTGCCGGTGATTTGCACCAGGTGTGATCTCACTAGCCAATTGAACTCGGTATACATGAATTGGGCTGTTTTATAGCATTGCACAATTCAAAGAGCACTCTTTCCTATAGATAACTACTTTAATAATTTTAGATAGTGTAGCCAAATTGCTGTCTAACCAAAACTCGTTTTTGCCTTCACCTATTGAAATCGATGGTTAAAAGAGCTTAAAGAACCCGTCGAAATTAGTTACGTAATACCGATTCTTTTAAAACAAGGGAGCCCTAACAATCGGCAAATCGTGTCCTAAACTTTTCTTATTTGCTAAGTCCAACTCCTCGTATTTGCTCATATTAAGATTTTGTCAGTTACCATGAGCGGATTGTTGCATTTTATATATCTCAAAAAATGTCCTTTTTAAAATTCAATTGAAGCATATTGCTACTGAATATTTATTAGTAGGACACCGATTCCAACACAAATTGATCCACCGTTTTTACTTGTCCAACGAGGTTGACTTCAGTCAAAATGAAATGAAGCAAAAGAACAGCAATCTCTTCTTCAGTTCCATTCGTAATTACTTGTGCCTTAATGTTGTTTAAATGTGAACGCCCCACCATGTATGATGCGAAAGTAGGCTGGCAAATCAACGCTCAAAGCCACAGTATTTAGGTGTTGTCTTGGGATATTGAATTGCCTAAAGCAAATCTGCATCTCACATTTTACGTGAAATCGATCAAATATGAAATCAATTTGATTTTGGTAATGAATGGAATTCAGGAGAGAAGTGTTTCAACGGTTATTCAGAGCAGCTCAAGGGCGAAGTCAGACTGAGAGGTTTTAACGAATTAATCAGCTGGACCTCTTAATGTAAAATGTCATGATGCGAAGCTAGTCATGTCGCAGTAATTGTGAAGCCTATTTTGTGTTCATTTGAAGGAATGGCTTTACGAGGATCTCGGTAAAACTTGTCTTGACATCGACATATGATTGTAGAAATTTTAAATCAAGATAGATTTGCATACTTTACGCCATCCTCTGATTTGATTTGTGATTGTAGAATGCTTGCCTGGTAAAATTGTCTATCAAATGTTCACTTCATACTAAGTGTTCAACGTGTATGCCTCTCGAAAGTACATTGTGGTTGGATGTTTTGGAGGTAAGCCAGGATATTGGAAATGCGTTAGCCATCAACTTGTTAGTTGATATTTGAGATAAAGCTGTCCGCGGATATCACAAAATGTTGCTTTCCTAGTGGCAACAAATCTGTACTACTAGGGACAGCAATGCAATCAAAACGTCAATCGAAGTTGGCAATAGTACATAGCAATCGATGGCTTTTGGAAAATTTCAGGGCCTTCTGATGCCCCATTAGTCACATTGTAAAGCTCCGTTCAATTGCTATGCATGTATTCGGTAAGGCATTAGGAAAAGAGATGTGAGATTAGGTGGAGATAACTGCACTTCATTGTAGACAAAATCTTAGTCAGCGCTTCTAATGTGACAGCCAATGAGACAAATAACTCAAGCATCGAAAATGCGTGTGCGTGGACCATCCACTCTCTCTCTCTCTCTCTCTCTCTATATATATATATATACACGTATATATCGTTTGATATTATCGCCGTTTGCCTATTATGCACATGCATTCATCTGCCTCAGTCGAATAAGGTGACTTCGCACTGCCTTCTAAACCAAGGAATTTCACGTTTCTCTGCCGAACTAGGCCTTCAATCAATATCAGCAATCCCACCAGGTAACTACCGGGAGGTGAGCTTCTCATTCTGTTGGATGAGAGTGACACTTAGCAAATACTCCAATTTTGTCTCCCCCACCCCGCCCGACCCCCCAATGTGCCATCATAACTTCGTATCAGAAGAGATGTAAAATTGCGAAGTGATGATGGTCTCAACTAATTGGGAAACTAATTGGAAATGGTCCTCTTAATAGCTATTGCTTTGTGAAATGAATACGATTTGCACAATTCCAAAGCACTTCCATCGTGAGTGCACGGAGGTGGGAGAAATGGTGCCTAGCATAGGGTTGGTGATGGATGTTTCCTTCACCTCAATCGGATTTAAAGGGGTGCATAATTTATTTCCCTCCATTATCTGATAAATCACAAAATGCAATAAATTATAGTAGCGTGTTGTAATAAAGGTCAATAATGTTCGCTTAAGCGTTTGGGGCCAAAGTGGTGATAAAAGTATGTGCGCTCAACACGAGATAATACAATTAGTGGCTTGACCCAAAAATACAAGCAAAATTAACAAGCTATTCTTCTCTTCATGCAGTCCCAAGCAGTGGGATGCAAGGTGACCTTGAGAAATTGCATATATAAAACCTTGGTGCAGCTGTAAAGCATCACAATTCACCACGTTTGCTCGCTGATCACACTACTACCATACGCTGGTGCAATGTTTCGACCAATAGATACTAATCCCATTCCTTTTAATCGCTTATTCACCAAGGTGAGCAAGCCATCGCCACTCAATTACTTAAATGCTTACTTACCTACTTACTTACTTTCTTACTCACTTAATTCATCCGTTAATTCATTCATTCATTATAAATTAATATGTTAATTAATACATTAATTAAGAAATGCGATTTGCAGAATGCCAACAACATTTTGCTGACACCGAGGCAGAGATGTGAGGCCAAAGAATTGTTGCTGAAGAGTAAGAGCACACAACTTCCGGACGACACAGATTTGAACGTAAGTGCTCATTTTGGCTTCGGTGACACCTTTTGCACAGGATCTGTGGAATGTTTTGGAAAAGAAGAAAGATGCTTCAGTGGATGAAAAGGAGTGGTTCATCACCTACCCCAAGTTCCTCGAGGCTAAGCAAGAAGTTTGTTCCAAAGTCAGGTACGCTTCTTCTATTTCTGCACCTCCTCTCCTTCCCCGCCCCTTTGTACTTGTAGCTTCGAGTCCAAAGCATCACTACTCCACAATTGTGCACAAGAAATGTTACCAAGTTATGAGCACACCCTTGGAGTTAAATCGGAGGATTTGTTTAATGTCACTCGCATTCAGCAGAATGAGTTGTTCACCTCACAGTTCTTGCTTGGTGAGAGGATTAGTTATTAGATATGTGAATATTACTATTGCCAATATGAGACCTAATATCCTTTCACGTGAAAACGTTCATTTTATGCCTTGTGCAAGCTGCCTTCATTTGCATGATACTAGCACAATCACTTACTCAATTATTCCAATTGAAACCACTTGAGGGGAATGATGAGCGAGCTGTTATTGAGTCGTGTGTGGATAGTGGAGGAGCAATTAGGCGTCAAGAATGTGATTATGAAAACAGGGCAATAGTTGTAGCAGATGGAAAATTGTGTGAAATTGGACGCAAATGTAGGTAAAGCACCTTCATTAGTCTCATTTTGAAACCAATTGAATTGACGGACATATCGATCGACCGATAATCCGGAGCTAATTAACCTATGCAGCAAGCAATGAGAACGCATTGGACAAGTATGGTATTGGTTCTTTTAACTCAGGTTTTGCGGTAAGGCAATTCTTCTCCAATTCAGCATATCGTAAGATCTCAATTAGAGGTATTTGCTACTTTCCATTATAATGTAATTGGATTAGATAGAGGGGACTCATATGTAATGAAATGAAGTGTTTCCATCTCAGTAGTGGTTCACTGCCACGACTACTGAGATATTACATGTTGTGATGAATTTTACTGAAGGTTGAGCAAACATGGAGGAAGTTGTAGAACCGCAAAATTTTACAAATTTCAAAGGTTTAGAGCTACAAATGTCACCATCATGATTCGGAGGTTAAGAGCCAATCCCTTAAATGTCATGCTCTCTTTAATGCTCATGCAATCAGTGATTGAACCAACTCGTTCTTTGGAGGTCAGATCAATCACCTCTGTTTCTTCAACCACACACTTGGAACCCGTAGTACTCTGTCACACCTCTAACGTGTCACCTGTGCACATTGTCGCGTTTCACTCTCAATCACAATGCCTCATTCGCCCATTCACTTCTCTCCACTAGGTAAGCGAAGTGGACGAAGAATACAAACCATTCTACATCAGTTTCGTGGTTCGCACGTTTCTCTTCTTCCTCGATCCTCTGTGCGCCGATCACATTCGGATCCTCGATGTGCTTGCCTCTGGGCTCATTGAACCACTTCTCCAACTGGCCGACACACCCTTGACTCAGGCACAGCTGGAGGAGAACCCCCTCACAATCCAACGCGTTATGATTGCCTACACCAATTTCCTTCTACTGGATACTGATAGGAGTGGAATGCTCTCGAGAGAAGAGTCAAACAGGTAGAGTTCGCTTCTTGCCTCTCAACTTCACATCATTTTCAATTTAAACTCAAGCACTCTCCTCACTCGGTTGCAAATTGCCAACCTACTTAATGGGTTAAGTAGAGAGTCACAATCCACATCACAGCAAGTTCATTACTAGGGAGGCAGTTGACTGAGCAGACATTTGCGTCAACCTGAAAGCAGTGTAGTAACTGATTCTTCTCATTCCCCAACAGCCTTCTTGGATGGGGTGTTTCAATCATGTCTCACGTATGGCGGTGAAATGGACTTCAGAGTCTACCTCGATTTGGTGCTATCGATAGAGAACCGCAAACTACCCCAATCAATCGCCTTCTTCTTCCGAATTGTTGACTCGGGTGAACAAGGCCGACTGTGCGTCAAAAGTGTGAAGTATTTGGTCAAATCACTTTTCCAACTTCTTCCAGACGAACCTGATGCTCGAACACTTCGCGATGTAGTGGATGAAATCTTCGATATGCAAGTTGCAGAAACACGACTCTTATTCATTCCCCACTTTTGATCCATACCCCAGCCTACACTCCATCACCCCCACCCCACCACCTCCACCTCTCCAACAACTCCTTCAATAACACCGGTTTATAGACTAATTTTGCCCTTTGATTACATGTTTACCAGGGTGCCCACGTGGAGGTAGGTCAATCGAACACCCCTATGCTACGCATTATTAAACAGCTTATATTGGAAAGAGAAGCAATGAAAATAGGTGAGGGATGCAAAGAAAACTAATTCAGGTCAATAAAATTGTATATGACGCTATTGCCCCATCTACAATTCGACAGCTTCCAGTACTACTTATGCTATTCCAAATCTGTAGCACTGCTAATAAAATGCAACAAGAGGGCTAGTTCAGAAGAGTTGGAGAGTTGAGTGGGTGGTTATTTTGTCGTTTTGACGAAAGTGGCGACTAATGACAAACTTGCGGCTATTGTGAGTTAGTTTGGTTTGGCTATGATAAAACCCATTAACCAATATACATATTGGCAATAATACGACAGATATTACTCAGAAATACTAGGTATTAGTTAAATTCAACAATGGGAATCGGTAAAGAAAAATAAGTAAATCAAAATTATTCAGACATTTTTATGTATTTACTTCAACTATTATAAAACAAGGTAACAAGAATACCTATTGAATACAATACGAGAGATATTAATCAGAAATACTGAGTAATATAGCTCAAAGTTAAATAAAACAATGGGAATTAGTAAAGTAAAATAATTAAATCTAAAATATTCAGACATTTTTATGTATTTATATCAACTTTAATAAAACCCAGTAACCAATATACATATTGACAATAATACGACAGATTGTGGTGCTTCCTGTAACTAGGAGCATTGCATCAATGGGTGTTGATTTTATCCCTCCAGTAATTAGTCGTAATGCTTGGTTGTGTGCCTTCTCGAGTGATTTGAGAGTCACCTCTGTGGCTGTAATGAGTGGCTCACAGCAATACGACATTATTGGCTGAATAAACATCTTGTAAGTAGTGTTGAGAGTTGAGCGTGCACAGCCCCATACGCTACCACCAAGACGCTTCAGTACATTCAGTCTATTGGAGACTCGTTCTGCTGTTTTAACAATGTGACTTTTCCACGTTAGCTTTGTGTCAAAAGTCATTCCAAGATATGTGAGCTCAATGGTTTTTTCTATGGTAGTATCCTTGTATCTTAGTAGCGGGTTTATGCTGTGATGGGCCAAAGAAAAAGTTTGGAGGGTTTATGCTGTGATGGGCCAAAGAAAAAGTTTGGAATGCGGTTTTTGCGATGTTGATTACAATTCCATTGTTGTCGCACCAGTTTGGTAGTAGTTTAAGTGCACAATTTAGGGCACTTTCCGTCCTCTTCTGAGCGTTTTTCTTAGGGGCGCAATACCATAGAACGAGACCGTCTGCATAAAGTAAGCACTTGATGCCCGTGACTGTCTGTACCAATTCGGCTATGTCATTGATGAAGACATTGAAAAGAGTGCAGCTTGTGACAGCTCCCTGTGGTAGGCCTTTTGTACAAGATTGGATTGTGATAGAGCATTTCCGTATCTGAATTTACACGATCTTTGTGCAATGAATGCTTTTATCCAGTTTAGCATGTTATGCTTAATACCAATCTTTGCCAATTTTAGAATTAGCTTCTCTTTCCATACTAAGTCATATGCTGATTTGAAATCGACGAAAACAGCCGTAAGGGTATTTCTTGCATCAAGGGCATCTTTGATGTGTTGAGAGAAAGTGACTACTTGAGAGTGCAAGAATGGTGGGTTGCTTGGTCTCCAACTGTACTTTTGGCCTCCCCAGCGCCCCACACGTATCCTCATGCCCATTTACAAATGCTACTTAAACGCTTTTCAATAGCAAGGTTGTGGACATGTGAAATGAAAATCTTGCTCTAATGTGCCACGAATCATCCATTTAGCCCATCATGAATTACGTGGGCGAGCAGTGCGGTTCGCCAATATAGCGTATCGTTTAGCTTTTTCTTATCAAGTCTAAGTCTTCTCAGTCGGTTTGGAAGAATATCATATAGCTTTTTCTTATCGGTTCGATGGTTCGGTGCTGTCAAGTCTAAGTATTCTCAGTCGGTTCAAATCAGTTTCCTCTACCTTTATCATATCAAGTCTACGTCTTCTCATTCGGTTCAAATTAGTTTTTCCTACCTTTGTCTTAACAAGTCGGTTCAAAACTGTTTGCTCTACCTTACTCTCATCAAGTCTAAGTCTTGGTAGTCGGTTCAAATCAGTTTCCTCTACCTTTTCTTATCAAGTCTAAGTCTTATCAGTCGGTTTAAATCAGTTTCTTCTATCTTTTCCTTATCAATTGTAAGTCTTTTCAGTCGGTTCACATCAGTATCCTCGACCTTTTTCTTATCAAGTCTAAGTCTTCTCAGTCGGTTCAAATCAGTTTCCTCTACCTTTATCTTATCAAGTCTAAGTCGTCTCAGTCAATTTAAATCAGTTTCCTCTACCTTTATTTTATCAAGACTAAGTCTTCTCAGTCGGTTCACATCAGTATCCTCGACCTTTTTTTTTATCAAGTCTAAGTCTTATCAGTCGACAGAAATCAGTATTCTTTGCCTTTATCTTATCAAGTCTAAGTCATCCCAGTCGATTCAAATCAGCTTCCTCTACCTTTATTTTATCAAGTCAAAGTCTTCTCAGTCGGTTCCAATAAGTTTCCACTACTATACCTTATCAAGTCTAAGTATTCGTTGTCGGTTCACATCAATTTCCTCAACCTTTATCTTATCAAGTCTAAGTCATCTCAGTCAATTTAAATCAGTTTCCTCTACCTTATTCTTATCAAGTCTAAGTCTTCTCAGTCGGTTCATATCAGTTTCCTTCACCATTTTCTTATCGAGTCTAAGTCTTTTTACTCGACACAAATCAGTTTCCTCTGCCTTTATCGTATCAAGTCTATTCATCTCAGTCGATTCAAATCAGTTTCCTCTACCTTTATCTTATCAAGTCTATGTATTTGTAGCCGGTTCACATCAATTTCCTCTACCTTTATCTTATCAAATGTAAGTCATCTCAGTCGATTAAAATCAGTTTCCTCTACCTTTATCTTATCAAACCTAAGTCATTTCAGTCGATTCAAATCAGTTTCCTCTACCTTTTCTTGCCAAGTCTAAGTTTTCTCTTTCGATTCAAATCAGTTATCTCTACCTTTATTTTATCAAGTCTAAGTCCTCTCAGTCGGTTCAAATCAGTTTTATCTACCATTATCATATCAATTCTACGTCTTCTCATTCGGTTCAAAATTGTTTGCTCTACCTTTCTCTTTTCATGTCTAAGTCTTTGTAGTTGGTTCAAATCAGTTTACTATACCTTTTCCTTATTTACGATATTGGTTCTATTGATGACAACATTCACTGAATTGATGAAATTGGTTCATTTTATGATAACATTCAATTATTGATGAAAGTGGTTCAATTATTGACAACATTCTTTGAATTGATTAAATTGGTTCAATTGAAGCAAGCATTCAATTATTGACGATATTGGTACTACTGTTGACCACATTCATTGAATTGATGAAATTGGTTCGATTGATGACAACATTCATTGAATTGATGAAATTGGTTCAATTGATGATAACGTTCTTTCTATTGATGAAATTGGTTATATTGATGTCAATATTCAATTATTAACGAAATTAGTTCAATCGATGACAACGTTCATTGAATTAATGAAATTGGTTCTATTGATGATAAAATTCAATTATTGACGAAATTGGTGCAATTGATGGCAACAATCATTGAATTGATGATATTGGTTCAATTGAGGACAAAATTCATTGAATCGATGAAGTTTGTTCTTTTGGTTATAATATTTAATTATTCACGAAATTTGTTCAATTAAGGACAACACTCATTGAATTGGTTTAATTTTTTCAATTGATGAAAACATTCATTGGAATGATGTAATTGGTTCAATTCATTGAAGGTTGTCATCGATTTCAGGAATTTAACCATGTTTTGGAATGTTCCGATCGATTTCAGGAACTTTATCATTTGTTGGATGTTTTCATCGATTTAATTTTTTTCATTATTTTTTTTGAATGTTTTTCTTTGATTTCAGGATATCATCAATTTATCGAAGGTTGACATCGATTTCAATAATTTCATTTATTTATTGAAATTTGTCATCGATTTCAGGGCTTCATCAATTCATTTAAGATTTTCATCTATTTCAGGATTTCATAAATACATTGAAGGTTGTCATTGATTTTAGCAATTTCATCAATTATTCGAACCTTGTCATCATTTTCAGAAATTTCGTCCGCTCATTGAATTTTGTCGCCTGAACGTGGATCGTCAAATATTATGCGGTGTTTGCTCGCTGACATTCAATTTGAGTAATTATTTTTTTAGTCTATTTTAGATACGCGTTAGCTTTAAATGGCCACTTAAAGAAATTAAAACACGAATACAGCGAAACATCTTCACACATTGGGAGTAACCACTCATCTCCACATGCCGCCTATGTAACCTACAGGAGGTAATGGTGATACCCACCTGATTCGATGTCCAGACCTAAAGACAACAGCGGAAACCCAAAGGTACTGGGACGCAAGGAAACAGGTGATGAACTCAACTCATAAAAGATTTATAAATTAAATTGATTAAAATGACGTTTTACATTAGCTCTTAAAACCTTGACTTCGGCTTCCTCCATTGGTGGGGGGTACATGTATTGCAGTTAATTAATAGCAGTTCATCACCTGTTTCCTTGCGTCCCAGTACCTTTGGGTTTCCGCTGTTGTCTTTAGGTCTGGACATCGAATCAGGTGGGTATCACCATTACCTCCTGTAGGTTACATAGGCGGCATGTGGAGATGAGTGGTTACTCCCAATGTGTGAAGATGTTTCGCTGTATTCGTGTTTTAATTTNGCGGAAACCCAAAGGTACTGGGACGCAAGGAAACAGGTGATGAACTGCTATTAATTAACTGCAATACATGTACCCCCCACCAATGGAGGAAGCCGAAGTCAAGGTTTT